TGAATACTAATGAGCAAAGAGCAGATGAGCTGTGGGAAGATATCAAAATATCATCTATGAAAGGTCACTACAAAGACAGAGAAATAAGAAAAACCAAGATGGAGTCAGAAGAGACTCTGAATATTGCACTAGAGTGCCAAGAAACCAAAGCAAAAGGAAGAAATCAAGATGTTAAGGAGCTGAACAGAAGATTTTAAAAGGCAGCTTGGGTAGACAAAGTAAAGTATTACCATGAATTGTGCAAAGAGCTGGAGTAGGAAGATCACAGGGAACAAACTTACTCAGCATTCCTTAAGCTGAAGGAACTGAAGAACAAATGTAAGCCTCAAGGTACAACATTTAAGGATGCTATGGGCAGAAAGTTGAACGTCCCAGAAAACATCCAGAGAAGATGGAAGGAGTACACAGAGTCACTATACCAAAAAGAATTGGCTAACACAGAAGAATTCATGAAACAACATATGATCAAAAGGCAATGATGGAGGAGGAAATTCAAGCTGCTTTGAAGGAAATAAAGACATACCAAGTGACATATTTCAACAAAGAGATAGATGCTGCCCTGGATGCACTCACCAGGTTATGCCAAGTAATATGGAAGACAACTTCCTGGCCAACAGACTGGAAGAGATCCATACTTATTCTAAAAAAAGATGATCCAACAAGAATGTGGAAATTATCAAACAATGTCATTACTATCACATGCAAGCAATATTCTGCTGAAAATTATCCAAAAACAACTGGCACTGTACATCAACAGAGAACCTCCAGATATGTAGGCTGGGTTTAGAAGTGGCCATGGCACTACGGACATTATAGTCAATGTTAGATAGGTCTTAACTAATCTTAAGCAGAGAGGACCAGAGGAATGTCTATCTGTGTTTCACTAACCATTCAAAGGCATTTGATTGAGGAGTCAAAATAAATTGTGGCTAATTTTGAGAAGATGTAAATCTCAGAACACTTGATTGTGCTTATTCGTCACTTATACTTGAATCAGGAGGCAGTCACCAGAACAGAACAAGGAAACACTCAAAATCAGGAAAGGAGTACACCAGGGATTTATTCTCTCTTCATATCTTTTCAATCTATATGCAGAACATATTATCTGGGAAACTGGACTTTATGGGAAGGAATGTGGCATTAGGATTGGATGAAGACTCATCAACAAACTGATATGCAGATGACACATCTTGTTTGCTGAAACCGAGGAGGACCTGAGGCATTTGCTGCAAAAGGCCAAGGACTGCAGCCTTTAATATAGATTGAAGGTCAACATGAGGAAAACAAAAATTTTCACCTCTTGGCCAATTGGCAGCATCATGATAGATGGAGAAGAAATTAAAATAATTAACAATTTCAACTTGCTTGGTCCCACAATCAATACTCTTGGTATGAGCAGCCAGGACATTAAAAGATGAATTGTACTGGGAAAATCTTCTGTCATGGATCTCTCCAGAAAACTGAAGAAAAACTATGTCAGTCCAGAGACTATGGTGCACCTGATCCAGATGATGGTCTTTGAAATGACTTTTATATGTCAGAGAGGTGTACAATGACTAAGGATAACAGAAGAAGAATCAATGCCTGTGTGTTATGTAGCAGAGTACTGAAGATATCATAGACTGTCAAGAGAATAAAAAGGTCTGTTCTGGAAAGAGTGCTCCTTGGAGGCAAAAATTTTGAAGCTCCGTCTCAAAATATTTTGAGCACATTATGAAGAGGGACCAGTTCTTGTAGAGGGTCATCATGCTTGGAAGGGAAGAGGGACAGTGCAGTAACTAAGACCTCTGATGAGATGGATTGGCTCAATGACTAGTGTGTGTAAGACAATGAAATTGGCTCAAGATAGAACAGAGTTCAGAACTGTTGTACTTAGGGTCCCTGTCAGTTGTAAGCAACTCAACAGCACATAACAACAACAGGAGCTCTGGTGACTCAATGGTTAAGGAGTTAACTGCTACTCCAAAACCAGGCAGTTTGAATCTACCAGGATACTACTCTGCAAGAGAAAAATGGACAGTCTCCTCTTGTGCAATTTGTTGTTATTAAGTGTCATCAAGCTATAGAAGATTCATAGTGATCCTATGAGTGAAAAACCTGAACATTTGTATAACTTTCATCGTTTCTCCAAGTTCATAGAGTTTCCGGAGGCAAGCTTTTTTGGAATGGGATGCTACTCCTGCTTCCAAGCTTGTTTTAACTGGGGAGCTCCACCAAACGCTGTCCACCATCGGTAACCATTATCACATTTGACATTTGACATCAGTGTCACAGTTTAGGATCACAGCAACCACGAGTTACCTCTGCGCAGTAAATGGACAGACCAGTGCTAAACCGTTTAGAAGAATGTTTGACCAAAAACAATTAAATCTAGGCCCGAGGGCTGTGATTTACAGTCACTAAAAATTCACTGGACCATCAGTTGTAGATCAGTCATTTTGGACTCATTAAGAATGAGGAAAAAGTAGGGGAGTGGGGAGCTCTGGTGAGTCAGTCTCTAGGGAGTTGAGATGCTGGTCTAAAGCCTGGAGCCTCTCTAGTGGTTTAAATCAACAAGCAGCTCTGAGGGTGAAAGATGGGCAGGCACCTACCATGTAATATGTCATTTCAGAAACCCACTGGAGGGACAGCTATGAGTCAGTTCTGACTCGGTGGTAGTGAGTTTGAGTTTTGTTTGAGTGGTGTGTGGAAAGGCTGCTAACCAAAGGCTGCCAGTTCGAATCTACCAGATACTCTACAAGAGAAAAGTGAGTGTTTTCCTGCCATAAAGGTTTATAGTCTTTTAAAAAAAATTTTATTTTGATGAAAGCTTACAGAAAAGTTGGATTTTTTCATTCATTCATTATTGCATAATTTCCTCCCTCCCTTCCCCATGACAGATTTATAGTCTTGGAAACCTCATCATCAGTTGGACTAAACTCAATGACAGTGAGTATACAACTTAAATATTTTTGCTGTGTAGCCCAGAATTCAAATGTTTTACTTAAAATTCAATTGGCATGGCTACCAGAGGTTATGGTACATGTATGACTGTGTTTGTGTGAAAACAGTATCCACTGATATTTGTCTTTTTTGGTAGATATGCCATATATTTTGAATATACATTGAATATACAACCTAAATTTTCCTCATCTCCTAAAGGATGCATCACAATAGTATCCTAGTGGTAAGAAATTGAGCTGCAATCCTGAAGGCTTATGATTTGAATCCACCAGCTGCTCCATAGGAGAAAGATGGACAATCTCCACTTGTGTAATTAACTGCCTCTGAAAACCCACTGGAGGGTAAGGGTGACTTAACAGTACACAACAACAATCTTAGGATGCCTTTCATACACAAATGGTCTTAAGAATAGAAGTCTGCCATTAATTACTTTTTTGAGCAGCAGAAAACCATAAGCCAGGTCTGGTATTTTTAAAACCATGCAGGCTGTAAGCGAGTTAGGACAGAAAGGAAGTGTCCAATTTAGTATCTTCAGACAGAAAAAGGGGGGAAAGTGTATGCATTCAACCTGTCACATTTCCTATTTTGCTTTTAAGAATGTTTGGGCCAATTAACCTCTGACAATAAACTGGGAAGTTAAAAGGGAAGATAATAATATCAAGAAGGCACATTTTATAGTGCGGTCTGGTGGCCTAGTGGCCAGAAGTTGCACTGCAATCCCAAAGAATGCACATTTTGTGGTAAGTTATAAAAGTTGACTCCTCTAGATGGTACTTCAAGGAAATCATGGGTGTCATGGAAGAGATACTTTTTTAGGAGTTTATGAAAATATTTTGTATAATATTAGCTTAAAAAATAGATGAATTTGATTAGAAATTTCTATGCACTAAGCTTAACCTTAAGCCAAATTTGGAGGGTCTACAATATTGCTTTATTATTCTCATCTCAACAAGAATGGTTCTAATCACAGAGAATCCTTCTCCAATACAGTTTGAGCAACAAGAAAACAGCATATGGATGATATAATTTAAAATATGCCTTATACCGTCTGAAAGTCACTGGAAATAAAACAACACTAAGAATTATGAAAAACCGACAAGATTTATAAAGTTAAAAAAATAATTTAAAAAGATTTCTATTTTAGAACTACACAATTTCTTCAATTCTTACACAGCATTTTCAGATTGTATTAGAAAACTGGTGATGAATCCAAACTGAACACAAATCTAAAACTATTCATTTCTTGCTTACTTTGAGCTTAAGATTATTTGTCTATGTAACCCAGATAATGAACTTTTTATAAAAAGGACGTTTACATCATAAAGCAAAAAGCAGACTGAAAAAAGCTGCTGTCTGTTAAATGGTCAAATGAAAAAAATTTATTTTACCATATTAATGATATAAAATAAGCTCATAAATAACCTGATATCTAGAATTTGATTATTGCCTTCTTGCCTAAATCCTTAGTAAATTCTTATTATGTATTTTTAGGTAGCATAGGAAAAATGATTAATATTTCATATTTTTAAAGCACAAAAATATATCCAAAGCATGCATGAAAATTCAAAAGCATTTTCACACATATTTAATATTTGGATACACATTGAATTAATAATTATTTTGTTCATTCTACTAAAATTACTTCTTGAAAGGAAAAAGTGGTAGTTTGGGCCTTCTCGACCCCTGGTTTTGGTACAGACTTGCTAATAAAGTCAGAGTGGAAAATACGTCATTTGCACATTGAAATATTTCATGTTCATAATATCTTTACTTATTTTAAAGCTATTCAAAAACATTATTTAATATTTGAAGAAGTAACAACCACAGACAAACCCAGCTTATAAGAAACAACCAAAGGTGGTTAATGCGTAACTTAATCTACTGAGACACCAGGTAAACCTCTCGATGAGCCCACTTTATTGCATTCTTGGATCATTTCATTGCCTATCAATTTAATAGTAGTATATAGTAGTTGTAATAGAAAAACATGGCTGTAGCCTTTTTGCCCCACCTGAGAGAGGAATGAACAAGGGTATAAACAAATATTTGCTACTCACTTTTCAGTCTTCTTGTCTTCTGCTCAAGTGCCTGGCATGTGTCCCATATCTCAGTATTTATAGCTTGGAGATTCCATTGTTCAGAAATTGCTTCCTCTATTTTATGCTGTAAAGACTTTGCTTCTTTACCAGCAGAACAGGCTGCTTGATCCTGGTTCTTACCCTAGTAAAAAAAAATTGGATTTTAGCAGTGCGGCCAGCAAAGTCGGCAACTGAGCGCCCACTCTTCTTATGCACACGAAACTGGAAATGTGCTTTTCTTCTCAGGGAAGTGATAAGCCTCTACTGAACTTCTGCAATTCTGTGTTTGCATGGGCTCGCATGCCTGAGCTATTTCTACAGTGGTAAAAATCCTGATATGTCGAGTTGCCTCTTTCTGCAAGTTGCCTCTTTCATCAGCAGGCTGTTGACACTGCCTCTTTTACAGCCCCCCCCCCCCCGCCCCCCTTTACTTCCTCCGCTCACTGCTCGTCACTGGGGACTCAACTTCGAAGTTCCTCTTTTTTTTTTCTTTCTGGTTCCTCCTCTATTTTTACTTCATGGTTTTAAAGGCATTTGAGGAGACTTTCCCCTGAGCATAATGCTTCTAGGGGCCACCTTACCTGCTCCTCAGCATCCTCCAACCGTTGCTTGACTTCTTGGACTGTCTTCCTGATAATGTCTTCCTGCTTGACAACATCATCTTGCAGATGTTTAATGGTTTCTAGTTGGTTCTGTCTGGTGTTTAAAAAAAAAAAGTACAAACCACAAGGTGTCAGTGACATTTCAGCTAAGAGTCACTCTCGGGAAACTGTGACAGGTTAAACTGATAGATCTTCAGAGATCAGAGGAATAAGTGAAAGTATTTACATAGACATACATGGTTCACAAATGTGGGATCTTAATCAATCATCCTGATCACTCACAAATAAGAACATTTCATTTCATGTTTGCACTGGACTCCATCCTGAAGAGACCAGTGTTGTGCCACCAACTACGTGCCTGAATCAGGTTGTCTACTGGTTAGAGGATGGAGTTCAATATTTATACATCATAGCTAGCTTTTATGAAAAAAGGAAGGAAAGTGAAATATAGGGAGGAAGGTAAAAGAAAAGGCAGGAAAGGCAAAGAGGTGGGGGGAGGAAAAGACAGGAAATGAGCTTTGCTTCACGATCTCAGCTTTCCCCTTATAGGTTATGTTCTTGTTTGCTATGTGCTTGTTGAGTCAGAACCGACTCATAGCTGACTCTTCAGTGGGTTTTCAGAGACTGCAAAGCACATAGGAGGAGATAGTCTTTCTTTCTCCCACAAAGGAGCTGGTGGATTTGAACTGTGTGCCTTGAGGTTACCCATGAGGCTACCGTGTGTACCATGGGCTGCTACCAAGCACAGAAAAGAACTGAAGGCAGCTGTTGCTATGTCAGCTGTAGTCCTCTCTTTGCTGAAGCACTTCGCCCTCCCCTTCATCCTCAGCCCAACTCTCCTGGTGCCCTTAAGCCAGCCCTCTTTTGGATCAAATCATAAACTTAAAAATGTGTCGAAATGCATGCATTCTCTGAGAGCTACTGAGATTATTTCATCTGCTTACTTGCTGACATATCAATGACTGTTTGGGAAAAATCGATCTAAGTAAGAACTTTGACTCAAAGTGATGATAAACTTAAAGAATTTCCAATCTTTGAAAAAGATATTTTCAGGTTCAGGCCTTCTGGGTGTCTTTCCAATATTACCATATAGTGAGAACCCCATGATGCTGTTACTACTGCTGTTAGGTGCCATCGAGGTATGACTCAGAGCCACCCTATGAACAGAAGATCTGAAAACCCTTTTTTATCCTGTGCCGTCACATTTCCTGACATACTAGAGTCCATTGCAGCAGTCACTGTGACAATCCACCTGGTTGAGGGTCTTGCTCTCCTTCACTGACCCTCCACTCTTCCCAGCTTCATGTCCATCTCGGTGGAATAGCCTCTCCTAGCAACATCATTGTTGCTTCCAAGGAGCACTCTGGCTGCACCCTCTACACGTCAGCTGAATCCAGCTTGGTTACAATAAGAACCATGTGAGACACAGGGCTGGTGTCAAAACACTTTCCCAGGGTGATAAACAAGCAAACCGAACAACAAACTAAACCAAAACTACTTAACTGACCATATATGTTCTACTATTCTTCAGTGTCATTTTCTTTTCTTGTCATGTTTTTTAAAGTCATCAGTCCTGTCTATATTACCTTTTACCAAGAATAGCTTATCGTCTCTCTCAAGGGTGACCATTGTCTTTCAAAAGAAAGCAAACAGACTATAAAGGCCATCAGAAAACCATATTTATTAAATATTACTAAAACATTCAACCATTATATGTTTCTACCCATAAGAAAATAACTTTCATGGGCCTTATGAATCATAACAGTTTTAGAAATAGCTTTTAAAAAATTTGATAGTACCATCTGTTAACGATATTCAACAGATGTTAAACCTTTGAAGATTTTTCTCTTATAAAACATGAACAGATTTTCATTATCGTGTTGAGGTATATACACACATACATAAATTTGCTTTGGGTTTTTGTTTTTTAATTCTGACAGTTCTCCTTACTAAGATGTCCTGATATTATTTCTTCATTTCTATCTTCCACTCCTGCAACTTGTTCCTGTAAAGGTTATAACAGGGTAGTTTTACAGTGTCCAACAGGGGCACTATGGGACTGAATCAACTTGATGGCACACAACAGCAACAATCATTTCTCACCACCTTTGCCTGTACCTCTTACCTGGACTACAGAATTTGTTTCCAATTCAGTGGTGGGTTTTTTTTAATTGGGTTGGTTGTTTGGGGTTTTTTTTTTTTTTTTACCTTGACATCCAGTACACACATACAAATGCACACATCCAACTGAAGCAGCAATTCTATGAAATGTAAAATTATTCTTACTTTTACTGTGATGCACTGATATTTTACATTTTATTTTACTGTTCTAAAATCACAGGTACAAATCCAGGACATTTTTCTAGGATCTCTATACTATCTGCTAGCAACTCCTTGCCACTAGGCCACTGGATTCCCTCTATCCTCACTGGTCACACTTCTGACACTTCTGTGCCTTCCAGGGAATTTTAGCCTCTACCCGGCAGTTAGAAAAATCTCTTGAAACACAAACTCTGTAATTTCTGTGCTCATAATGTTTCCATGGCTTCCCATCATATCTGAATGAAATCACAACTCCTAAGCATGATCTACAAGGTTGTATCTGACCAGACCCCTGTCTATGTCTTTGAGTTCATCTGTTACCACTCACTGTTCAACACTCAACTAGCTGCTCTAGCCAGGCTGGCTTCTTGATACTGTTTAAACATATAAGCTTCTTATGATCTCTAGACATCTCCTCTGCTGAGAACACTCCACATAGCTCACCTCTCACTTCAGTCAGCTCTTTAATTCTTCACTCTTTTCCTGGCCACTCTTTCTAAAATAATGCTCTTTTGCCCCTTGTCATTCATCTTGTCCTGCTTTAATCCTCTTCATGTCATTTAGTCAAACTTAAAACTCATTGCCATTGAGTTAGATTGACTCACAACTGACTCTCCAGCAGGGTTTCAGAGGCTGTAAATTGCACAGCAGTAGGCTGTCCCTTGCAGCCACCGGTGGATTCGAGCCACAGAGAAGCGTCACCTTTGAATTAGCATCACAGCTCCCTATGGATTATGCCACAAGAGCCTCCCATGTCATTTACTAGTCCCTGGAATTATAGTTTGTACGCTTTTCTGTTAATTATTTGTGTCTCTTTCTAGATATTAGTTACACGGAGGCAGGAACTTCTGTGCCAAGGGGCAAAATGTGTGGCAATGGACAGGCCAGATAGATATTACAGAAATGTTGTTTTTGTTGTGTACCATGAAGTCTGACTGAACTTCCAGTGGGTTTGCAGAGGCAGTTAATTTCATGAGAGGAGATCGCCCATCCTTCTCCTGCAGAACACCTAGAGGCCTCTAACCTCATTCCTTTGGGATTACAGTGCAGCTTCTTGCCACTAGGCCACCAGGGTTTTTTTTTTTTATTTATAAATAAAACTTTTCTCACCAAATCCTTTTGAGTGCTATTTTTCCTCTAACTTTCTCTCCTTGGTCCTCTCCATTCTTTCCATTCCCCAAAGCCTTTTTGTCTTGACCAGGATAGAAAGAAGTCTTCTCTTTCTCAGCAAACAGCCCTTTAAAGTTACCTTGTAGCTATTTCCTCCCATACCTCTACATAGACTTACCACTTTCAATGTCATAGAATACTTATTTTTTTTTTAATTCATAGTTTAAACACATAGTTAAATCATTTTGTTTGTAACCTTCATGTGCCCTCCTCCTTTAAATTGTCACTAAAACATGGTGAAAAGCTATGGTGGTGCACTGATTCAAACATTCAGCTACCAATCAAAATGCCATTTGTTTGAACCCACCAGCCACTTCCTACAAGAAAGAGATGACATTCTGCTTACATAAAAATGCCATCTTAAAATGTTATGAGACAGTTCTACTCAGCCCTACATTGTTAGGTGCTTCTGAGTACAACTCATGGAGACTTTATAAATAGCAAATCTGAATCCCCTCCTATCCTATGCCATCTCACAATTTCTGACACCCTCAAGGCCCTTGCTGCAGTTATGGTGGCCAGGATTTTTGTTTTTTTAAAGTTGAGTTGTAATCCATATTGAAGGCTGCATTCTTTGATCTTCTGCAGCAAATGCTTCAAGTCCTCCTTATTTTCAGCACTCAAGGTTGTGCCATCGGCATGCTGAAGGTTATTGAATCTTCCTCCAATTCTGAGGCCACATTCTTCTCATAGAGTCCAGTTTCTCAAATAATGTTATCAGCATACAGATTAAATTTCTTGTTTTTGTTAATTGTCATTGCATCAAGTGTGACTCATAGCAACCCTATGAACAAAAGATCTGAACCCTGTTCTATCTGGCAGCATTATGAGACTTCCTGACACACAAGAGCCTATTCCAGCAGTCACCACGTCAATCCACCTGGTTGAGGAGCTTCCTCTCCTTCATTGATCCTCCATTCTTCCTAGCATCATAACTTCTCCAAGGAATAGCCCCTCTTAGCAACATGCCCAAAGTATATGGGGCAAAACCTCATAATTCTTGCCTCCAGAAAGCACTCCAGCTGCACCCTTTCCAAGACATATCCGTTTGTTCTCCTGGTCATCCACGGGATGTTTAATGCTCTTCTCCAACACCATAGCACAAAGGGATTGATTCTTTTTCTGTCATTCTTATTCCTTTTCCAGCTTTCAGAGGCATAGTAAGTGAGTGGAAAGACTATGGCCTGAATCAGATGCACCTTAGTCTTCAGGCTGACATCATTACTCCTCAGTAATTTGGAGAGGTTCTTAACTGCAGATTTTCCCAGTGCAATGCATCTCCTTATTTCCTGACTGCTGGTGCAAAGGGTGTTAATTGTGGATCCAAGCATGATGAAGCTGTTGACAGCTTCAATATCCTCTCCATCCATCTTGATTTCGCCTATCGGTCTGGTGGTAAGAATCTGTTTTCTTGACACTGAGATGCAATCTACACTGAAGTCTGCATTCCTTGATCTTCAGCAACAAGTGCTTCAAGCCCTCCTCACTTTTAGCAAGTAAGGTTGTGTCATCTGCATAACTCAGGTTATTGCTGTGTCTGCCTCCAATCTTGATGCCACACTCTTGTTCATAGAGTTCAGATTCTCTAATAATTTGTTTAACACAGAGATTGAATAGGCATGGAAACAAAACAACCCTGACATACTCCTTACTCAATTTTAAACCACACAATGTCTTCCTGTTGTTTGCACAAGAGCCTCCTGGTCCAGGTATAGGTGCTGCATAGGGATGGAGAAAGGATGCAACCCTGATGCACACCTTCCTTGATTTTAAATTATGCTATGTTCCCTTGCTCTGTCCTCACAACAGTCTCTTGGTTCAGATGAGCACAATTAAGTGTTCTAGAATTCTCATTCTTCTCAATGTTAGCCAAATTTGTTATGATCCATGCAGTCAGATGCCTTTGTATAGTCAATAAAATGCAAAGAGACATTCTTCTGGTATTCTTTATTTTCAGACAGGATCCATCTGACATCAGCAGTGATATTCCTGGTGCCACAGCTTCTTCTAAACCCAGCTTGAATTCCTGGCAATTCTCTATGTACTGTTCTGTTGTTGTTGTTGTTGTTGTTGATTGCCTTTGAATTGAGTATGACTCAAAGTGACCCTATAAACAAAAGACCTGCAGCACCTCTACAACTATCAAGATATATCAAAGTTCATAGAGTTTCCAGAGGCATGTTATTTAGGAATTGAATGTCACTCCTGCTTCCAAACCTGTCATAGTATGTTATTGTTATGTGCTGTTGAGTTGCCTGCGATGTATAATGACCCTATGTACAGCAGCTCTGAACCCCTCCCTTTCCTGAGCCAGTCTCACTAATTTTGACAAAACAACCCCCATTGCTCCAGTTACTGTATCAACCCATCTCATCCTGAGTCTCCTCTTGCACTGTCTGTCCACCCTTCTGAGCATGATGTCCTTCTCCAGGGACCAATCTCTCCTGGCCACATGCCCAAAGTAAGTGAGGCAGAGTTTCAAAATCCTAGCTACCAAGGAAAGACTGGGTTTCACCCTCTCCAAAACAGACCTATTTGTTTTCTTGGCAGTCCATGGTATGTTCCATCCATCGTTTGGGCTTAGGCATTTTTAAACACATTATCTCACTGGACCTTAAAAACATTCACATATACTCATTAACCTCAATTTTAAAATGAGCCCAAAGGGTCTAAAATCCTGGTAAGTTTTCAAGGTAAACTTAAGCTTAAGTCTACAAATTTTAAGTGTGATGAAATTTACATGTGAACTATGTTATATACCTAATTATATATAATCACAACATAAATTATTTTGGGCAAATAAGAGTGGTTGTTTTAAAATAATGAAAAGTTATAAAGATTACAAAAATATGAGTAATACACTAGTAAAATTTACCTTTTCTGGATACTGATGTAGTCCATAAACATTACTGCTTCTTGTAATGACAACTGGGAAACTTATACTGTTCAAGTCATTTTAAAATTACTATCAGCAGTAGTTTGGTTGCATGTAATAGTAATGATTTTGTTAGATGACGTCTGTATTCATTGGGTTGCTTCTCTTGGCCACAGGATCAAAGATGGGTCTCTTTTAGTCAGTTGGCCAGCCAGCTGTCCTCCAAATTTCCTGACACAGACTGATGAGCATGTCTAGGGCTGCGTCTGTCATTTGAAACATTTCAGTTGGTATTCTATTGGTTCCTGAGGCTTCACCTTATGCCAATATCTTCAGTGCAGTTTAATTTCTTCCTTCATTACCATTGGTTTCTGGTCATACGATGTTTCCTGAACTATTTCAGTGCCCAATTCTTCTTTAAAAAGTGTCTACATATTCCCTCCAATCTCTTTTGATGTTTCCTGGACAAGATTAAAGATTTTGCCCATGCAGTTGCTAAGTATTTCACCTTGAGGCTTGGGTTTGTTTTTCAGTTCTTTCCACTTGAGAAATGCTGAGTGAGTTCTCTTTTTATTCTCACATTTTCAGTCTCTGAAATTCTGATATAGTAGTTTGCCTTGTCTTCCTGAGCTGACTTTGAAATCTTCTGTTTAGTTCTTTATTTCAGCATCTCTTCTTCTTCTTTTTTTTTTTTTTTTGTCTTCTCAAGGCACTAGTGCTATTTTAAGGGTCTCTTCTAACATCCATTTTGGTTTTTCCTTTCTACTCTGTCTTTTGCATGACTTTTAGCTCTCTTCATTGATGATATCCTTAAAGTCCTCCGGTCACTGTTGTTCATTGCTTCAAACTAATTCTTAAGATGACTTTTAAATTCTGGTGGGATAGACTTAAGATCATGTTTTGGTTTTCGTTGAATGGTTTTAGTTTCCCATTTCTTCAATTTGAACTTATACCTAAGTAATTGAAAGTCTGGTTTTGACTGCTGATAATGATGAGCTTCTCCAGTGATTTCTTTTACAGATGTAGTTGATCTAAATTCTGTAAGGTCCATCTGGTGATATCCATGTGTAAAGTAGGCGTTTGTAGTTTTTTCAAAAAGTTTTTTGTGACAAATGAATCACTGAACCAATCATTCTCTTTCTGGGCTCATTTCAGTCACCAAGTCTGTAACTTTCCAATTACCATTCTTTCTTATTTTAACCAATTTTTGCATTCCAATTACCAATTATCATTGAATCATCTTGATTACATTCTTGGTCAATTTTGAATTGCAAATTTTGATAAAAATCTTCAGTTTCCTTTTTTTTTGCCTTTAGCTGTTGGTGCATATATTTGAATAATACTCATATTAGTAGGTCATCATTGTATATGGATAATACCCTGTCATGCACAACATTGTATTTCAGGATAGAACTTGAAATTGTATTTTTAAGTATGAATGTAACACCATTCTTACTGGTTTTTATTCCCAGCATAGTATACCACATGACTGTCTGATTCACAATGGCCAAAGCTAATCCATTTAATTCACTAATGCCTAGAATATCGATGTTCATGAGTTGCATTTCATTTTTCCTAACTTTCAGTTTTCCAACTTTCATGCTCCATACATTTTATGGTCCAATTTTAAAGAATGTTTGAGGCTATTTCTCTACATTTTGATTGACTACCTATCTGGGCTCTACCTCTAATAATATATCTATTTGTGTTCCTCTATTGTTCATAGAGTTTTCAGAGACCTGTTATTTCAGAAGTGCATGGTCAATTCTTCTTTTAGTCTGTCTCAGTCTGGAAATTCTGCTAATACTTGTCTACCATGGATGACCCTTCTGCAAAAACTCAGCCTTATGTGATCAGAACCAACTCAGTGGCAGTGACTTCAAGTTTTGGGATAGAAGGTGAGAACTACAGTCATCCTCAAACTAGTGACAATTCATTTACTCAATGCTAGATTCCCAGATGTTCTTAAGGAATATTTTACCATATTATTTTAATGGGTGGATAGCAGAGGATTAATAGTTGAAGCATCACCAGCTTTGAAAATGGACATATCTAGTCCTGATCTCAGCTGTCACTAAATCTCAACTAAATGACTTTGGGCAAGTTACTGCTTCTCTCTGGAGATAGATGTGTGTCAAATTACCTAGCACAGCAGCTCTTAGCAAAAAGCAGCATTACTTAACTGGTAGCTCATTTGTTGTTGTTGTTGTTTGGTGCCAAGTCAGAATCAACTCATAGCTGAGCCTTCAGTGGTTTTCAGAGCATAAATCACACAGGAGGAGATTGTTCATTCTTCTCCCGAAGAGTAGCTGGTGGATTCGAACTGCATGCCTTTGGGATTGCAGTGCCTTTGAATCCACTAACTGTCACTGGAGAAAGATGAGCAATGTCCTCCCATAGAATTAACTGCCTCTGAAAACCCACTGGAGGGTCAGCTATGGGTCAGTTCTGACTCAATGGTACACAATAACATCATTATTTAACTGGGCTACCTGTGTATCTGGCAGGAAACACAGACAATTCACTTATTCAGAGCTGACCCTGTTGCCGGCCTCTCTCCAACAGCTAACCCAGAATTTCAATGTTTCCTTTTGTGGAGATGGTGTCCCTCTAAGGAAGCTACATATCCACTTCACCCACACTTTTCACCACTATCAGGAAGTTTGGGCTCCTTTCTTTTTAGGGAAAGCGGAAGATCAAGATCAAGAAATAAAGTTGCTTCTTTGTTTTAATTTACCTTTGTAAATTTACTATACTTTCTCAGTTGGCTCAAATCAACATACAACTAATTTCATTTGTTAGCTCATCCATAAGCATGTTGAGTGAAGTCTAAGGATGGTGTTTGTAGCTATATAAATAGTGGTTAACAAAAGATGTAGCCATTGTCTTCATTGAACATGTGGTTTACAGAATATACATATTTCAAGACTTAAAAGGATTGAGGTGAGAGAAAGGGTAAGATGATAAACTATATTACACTTGGACACTTCTATGCCCTGTGACTTTATTTACCTCAGATGGAATTGACTAAACTTTGCAGTGTGTATAGTTCACTGAGGTGGAATAGGAAGCCCTGGGTAGTGCAAACAAGAGCCAAGAGGCCTGGCTCACGGCTCTAGATCCTCCACTGGCAACTCTAAGACTTTGATCCATTTTTTACCTCTTTATGCCTCAGTGATCTGTTAAATGAGGAATTTTTCACTACAGCTTCACTGGGTTAAAACAATTCTATATTCTGTCATTTCAAATTCCATCTCGGGGGGGGGGAACTCATTATACTGGTTTCCCCAAGTTTTAAAGTTCACCATTTGCAATTCTGAATATCCAAGTAAATTTTCCATGGTTTCAAAATTCAAGATTATCAAATACTATTTTCTCAGAAGAAGTGTCATCAGAAATCAATGTATATGGTTTGAAAAGAGCCTACTGAACGTCATGCATAATCACAAGCTTATAATGTTTATGAAGCACAGGGTTCTAATAAATAAATAAACATTACCTGGAAAGGAATTCTTTCTGTAAGTGAAAATATTCCAGCTTGAATCTCTTCACCATCTCTATCAATTTGGCAAACTCTTTATCAACAGATTCTTTGTAGTTCCCCAAGCTGTTCATCATTAGTACACAAAGATTTAGCTTTTCTCCTATGATACGTTTTAATTCCTACAATGAAAACAATAAAACAAACCCTAGTATTTCACAGTGTTAAGTGTAAACAAAGCACAGAAGCAATTTAAAATGCCATAGATGGTGTGAAGGATGGGAAAAAGATGATTCCAGGATTAAGGAGACAGAGTTTCTATAGAAAATAATGGAAAAAAATAGGAACATATAATGGTTGAATAATGTGATAAAAATAATTAAAGCCACTGAATGGTACATGTGAAAATGGTTAAAATGGCACACATTTGTTACATGAACACTTATTACATTTAAAAAAAAAAGATAGGCATTGCTTCTCAAAGGTATGCAATGTTATTAGATGCCAGTGATTGTCTTTTTGAGAAATATTTATTGTCTATCAACTGAGTGTTTAATTATAAATGGGTCCTTAAACATCTTATCACTCATCAATACTTACTTTAGAACAAGATGGAACAAGGAAAAGGAAAGAAATTGGTACATGTAGGTTAGCATATTTAAAGGCAACTTAATAAGCTGAGGTTGACAAAGAAGTAGAAATAAGTATCTCAGACTTAAAAAGCTTACTTCTTTCTTCAGTTAATTTAATATCTGATGGAAGAAAGTAGCCTGAAATTTAAAATTTAAGCAGTAGAGATA